TACATCCCTTTAGTGGCTTCTCCCTTTTTCTGCTGCTTCAAACAGAAGCTATTAATTTTCAAAGCTGTTCACTGCCTGCCTCTATCCTCTTCCCGTTGAATACAGAAATGCTGACTCACACTGCTGGTCTATTCATGATGTCAGGCTGCATCACCTGCATATTCAGTTTCCAAACCACTCACTTTCTCCCATGCTGAAACAAAAAGAGCTGACCATAAACCACCACAGGCCCACCTCATCATCATCTTTCAAATACCGCTTCCATTACATTCAAAATATATAAATATTACAGTTAGATTGCCAATGTGCTGGAAATCATCACACAAGATAAAGTTGTCTCTCTGTTTTCTTGTGCCCTATCTGTTCTCTCTGCCCCAAGGAGTTTACAAAGATACAGGGAGAGGAGATTTTCTTTCAATTCTGTGTTTGCACAGTGCCTAACACATGAGTGGTCACAACTGTATAGACAAAAATAACAGAACAGGTTGAAAGTAGCTGCTGGGATTAACTGCATTTGAAATGTAAGCTAGGTTTCTCAAGCAAAATTAAAGGATCTTTAAACATGAGACAGAAAGAATTAAAAGGAGGTAGAAGGAAAGTATTTTGCAGCTTTATCCAATCTTGGTCATTTCTGCATAAAGCCAACTCTCTTTTTTCTCTCCCTTGAAGTGTTAATTAATAAGCCTTCCCAGAATCTGCACTGGTAAATTTGTGACGCACATCTCAAATGGCCAAAGCAAATGACACTAAAGCTTTCCCTCAACAATATGTCCCAAGAATCAATTAATGCACACTCCAATGAGACTTAATGCCTGCCTTACTATTACATTTTTTTAAAACTGTTTAGAGCCCTTATGCCATGCATGTCAAAAATCTGGACTGCAAGCTGAATCATCCAGCCTGCTGTACTGCCTGTGTGCCTTGGACCAGACTCACACACAGATCCAGAGCATAAGTATGGGCCAGACCCCTTGCACATGTGACACGCACGGTCAGTCCAGGATTCTTGCAGTGCTGACACCGGACCAGCCCATATGCCAGATCTAGCACTCACAGCTAGTCTGTAAATCCAATCCAGCCTGCAGACCAGCCCCGTGCCATTCATCTAGCCCGCCGAGCCTGATGAATTTGACACCACCCCCCTGGCCAACTGCACTAGTTAGAACAATCTTTTCTCCCATGCCTAATGAAGGGTGTTTGTGCCCAAAAACTTGCAATTAAAGATTTTTTTTTGCAAAAATCTACTCAGTCTAATAAAAGGTATCACGTCTACCATGGGTCCTGATAGCTAGTTAAAACAAAAAGCTTTCAAATCAGTAATACATAGGCCTCACCTCAGGCTACTCTTAGTCACATCAGGTAAGTGACACATTTCTGGGAGCATATAGAAATAAAGCAAAGACATTAAATCTGAATTTCAGCTACACATACATGCTTTGCCCCCATTATACTATTTTCAATCTAGCTACTGTTTGCAGGAAAAAAAATATTAAACAAGCACTTATTTAAGAGAGCTTTTGTGCAACAGAAGTTATCTAACAGTCCCCCCACCCTTCCCCCAATCCATGAGTTCTTGTTTCTATGATTTGAAAAAGCATCAGACTGACACTGACAGGCAACATCTCCATAGGAAGACCACTGTAACACTGCAGACTCCATGCATGAGGCTTCATTTGTGAAGGTCAATGACTATCTCTTGTATTTATACAATAATTGTAAGAGAAATTTAAAGAAAGAACCTAAAACATTAGCAGTATTTCCACATGCTTGAGCATGTGTTGAGATTCACACTTAAGGCTGGACTGAACTCTCCATTTCACAGTTTAAGAAGTTTAATTTACAAGTCTGGTTGAATGCTTTCAGAAGACAAATTCACTTTCTGTTCTGTTTTCTGACTTGTCTTAACTTCTTAAAAAGACACATTTAAGAACCACTTTTTTCTTTTGCCTCAAATGATCTTACAAAGAGTCAGGTACTTTTGTCTTTTGAATTAATAAACTAATTGAAAACTCGAACATATACTGCATTAAAATATACTAGTTTGTGACTAATTTGGGTTCATAACTAATACCCTTATAAACAGGACCATTTGTCAAGTAGCATCATTTTCATAACAGAAAAAATCTTTTATTGTCATCCTTCCTCTCCGGCAATTGGGTTGAGATGAGTCACAGCACTGTGGAGGCTCTGCATATGTGAAAAGTTCTCATTGAGTAGATTACTTGACAACTGTTTGTCCTCCCCTAGCAGCATACTCCCATCAGTGAGTCCCAAACAAGACAACAGAGAACGGATACCTTCTTGAATGGTAGCTTCCCACTTTCACCACTACTGCAATGCAATCTTAAACTTCCCCCACACAGAAGGATATAAGCAGACGTTTCCCCTGCAGCAAGGCAATACAGTAGAACCCAGGTACCCCACACATGCACCCCTATCAACACTAAAAACCAGAAGTCAAAATAATCAATCATTAGTTAATGCCCATCTCATAGGGAGATGAGACCACCTAATTGGGCAGGACAGTCCCAAAATGTAAAATCAAGACCCGGTGCTGGGCCGATTGACTCTGGATCAGCATTTGTCCCAGATTCCCCTTGGCACAGCTCCTGAAGGACGCCCCCACCAGGGTCTGGGGCTCTGTCCTCCTGGCTGCACACGTCATTCAGAGACAGTACATGGTCCATGGCACCCCCCAGTGCACACTAGAGGGGCAAATTCACCCTTAGACCGTGTCGTCCCCCACCCAGGAAAGCAGCATTCATCTTCTTCCAACTGTGCACACATGTGCAGGGCTAAGGGGGTGGGGGAGTACACCCAGCTCTCCTCACCCCTCCCCGACTCCTCTAGCTGCCCATTCTGAGTGCCCAAGGCTGCCCCCACCACTTCTTGTTGTAGAGCTCCTCCATGCAATGCCAATGGTACAACAGCACCCCCCCCACCTTTGATTTTTTTTTTTTTTTTTTTTTTTTTAAATACATGTGTCCTGCTTTTGCATTTTGAAAAGGTGGTCACCCTACCATCTCGTTATCTTCCTTCAGGGTAACAAAATGACATTTATATAACTGCAGAGAAGATAAAAATATTGTGGCTCCAGACAGATCAATCATGGAAACCATAACTTCATGAGCATCCTTACAGCAAGACACTGAGTGCAAGGGAACTGGAAGAAGTTCCAACTACCTGAAGCCGCATGTCAATGAGGACCAACCCAGGCCATGGATAGGCATTATATCCGTGCTGGATATGGAAACCTTTTTCCCAGCACAAAAAGGAATGCATATAGTTGTTCAAAAAAATTTCTTGCAAAAGAAAATTGGCTATTCCACAAGAAAGTTAAATTGATTCCTACCAGAAAAATCTCCTGCATTAAACTTGAATGACTGTACATGTCTCTCAGGTGTTGAGGAAACCCAATATCCCACAGTCTTCTGCTCTCCCTTCCTCCCAGGGAGACAAAGGGAAGGAATGAGAGCACCGACACCCTGATAGCTCACCCCCCCAAGGCAGGCTGTCAAGAAGCCTTGTGGGGCCCCTGCCTTGGAAAATCCCCCACCCCAGTCAATCAACTGATTAGTGGGGGCCAGGATGGGATGCATTCTCCTTTGGAGGGAACCCTGCTGCAACCCCAGGAGGGTTGCTGTTGAGCAGAATGGTCCCTGGCAGGGCCGCTGCACCACAGTAGCAAGGTCCCTAGGCTCTGGCAGCCTTGCCATGGCAAGGTAAGGGCCCCCAGACTCTTCTCTGGGTTGACCCAAAGAAGTGCTAGGAGCAGGAACTATTCTCTTGCAATGAGAACAGGAGTAAAGGTGAGGGTGCAAGGAAATAAATGGTTCTCCATTCCACAAAATCAGCAATTATTATTGTGCACAGTAATAACAATAGATGTTACTCTCTAAACTGTACAATCATACTGGCAAAGTTATGAGAACAAAACATGCCTAAACATCTGGATTACTTAGGTAGCGATGGTCCAAGACAGACCTTTATCTTTCTATATTTCTGTCTATATCTGTCTATATTTCCATGAAGGCATAACCAAATGGGGAGCCTAGCCCTGAGAAATAGACCACAAAAGCAAAAGGAAGACACATTGCTAAAGCCAACTCAGAACCAGGGACGTGCAGAGCCAAACAGGTGCCGAGGATCTGAGCAACAGCCTGGTCAGCCTCTGGTTATAGAGGCTCAAACCAGCTAGTAAAAAAGTGGCTTCCAAGTCTGGCTCCTAAAAGAAAAAGAAAAAAAAAAAACACTTTTCAAATAGAAAGGCTGCTCTAAAACTGGCCAATGGAAAGTTATTTACTGGAAGTTTTTTGACAGTAGGGGAAAGGCTAAGGGTAAGAAACTGAAGTCAAAGTAATTCATTTAATTTCTAATATCCCATTTAAAAATCTGGAGGACTACTGACTGGATTAAAGTCTCTTGAGACCCCTTCCAGTACTATGCCTCTATGCCACACCTGCCTGGAGAGGTTACAGAAAGCATGAAAAAGCTGCAAGGGGCAGAAAAGAAAATAAGCAATAGGGCCTAATAAAGAACCAGATGTGTAATCAAAAAGGGTGTGGGCCCTTTCAGAAACAGATAAAGCAACTTCAGAAATTACAGGAGAGGCTAGGGAAAAGAAGCTCTTAAGAAAGAAAGTTGACAAACTGGAAAAGGGAGCAATGCTTTATAGAGAAGGAAGTCTGACACTTGATTTTTTTTTTTGCATATAAATTTTTTTAAAAAATCATTTAAATGTGTTTTAAAAGACTTTAACAAAAAATAAAGATCTTTTTAAAATACCCCAGAACTGCAATCATTCTTACTGAGTAGGGAAATGCACGGACTCAGGTACAGTATGTTAACTTTTAAATCACTTACAAATAATTGCAACTGGAATTAAAGTTGCTGTGATAAGGTGAAGTATGACAATGCTCACCCCTTTAAGTGCATGCTACAAACAGCTTGCATACCAAAAAGCAGTAGCAGCACGGTACTTAAAAGAAATGGAACTGTACCTCCCACACAAAGTAACAAAAAAGGGAGGAACCAACTCCCAAGTGGCTGGATAAGTCTTTGGCCCCACTTCCCATGGCAAAAAGCAGCAGGAACGTGCTCTCTGTGCCCACTCCTCTTCTGAGAAAAAGAAAGAAAAGATACCAGAGCTCCCTGCAGATACAGAAAATACATCATCACCAAACTGTTCACATGTGCATAGCACACTAGCCCTGCAAGATGCACTTGAATTAAAGAAATACTGTACTCAATTCCGGTATAATTTTTAGTCAGGTACATACAACTACTTTCAGACCTACCATAACAGACTGGCAAGTAAATTCAGCTTTTAGTAAGTAAACCATGCAATGAAATAAATGATGCTGAAATTAAGGGAAAAGTTAACTTTTGGAGAGAAAACAAGAATGGAAAGCTTAACCCAAACCCCGTATTTTCTATGAAGTCGTATGCCTGACTTACAAAAGAAAGTAGATGCTAGTTAAGTTTGCATGTACTAGACCAAGAAAGATATTGGGATAAAAGTTTTTGTAGTTTTCATAGTAAAATTCCCATTCTAAGGCCTTTACAGACATGCAGAGAAGAGGGTCAGAACACTTTAAGTAAGTAAATAAATACAGCTCCACTCCCAATATTTACAAAAATGTTACTGGATATAGCATAGTAAGTGAAACAGGCCACAGTAACAGGTATAAAGGAAATATTACAAAACATGGACTTTGTCCTAATAATAGATTATAAATATCATATCCAGAGGTTCACCGGCTTCAACTGTTCCTTGCATCAGGCCTTTAAAATTGTACCACTTCTAAAGTCCGTCTGCCAAAGAAATATCTTTGATCTCAAACACAAAGAAGGTAATATTCTTCACAGAAATTCATACATTATTTTTATGGTAAAGTTACTTTATATGCCACCCTTCCCAACAAAGGACCAAAGCAGTCTACAGTAAGAAAACAGAAAAACTTAAAATGAGGAGAGCTACAGGAGGATCAAAACAGCTTCAAAGGGAACTAAACCAACAAGGTAAAAGACTACTAACCTTCCACCCAACAGTGGAACTGTGGACACTCTATTGGGTAGGGCTATGATCTTGTCTGACCTGGATAAACTGTAGAAATGGTCCGCAATCATTGAAATGAGATTCAAGAGGATAAGTGTAAAGTCCTGCACTATGGGCAGAATAACCACATGCACGGACTAGGGAATGACTAGCTAGGCTGCAGTATTGCAGAGAAGGACCTAGGGGTTACAGTGGACCATCAACTGAATATGAACTGAAGTACTGATGACTCAATTATCTATGGAAAACTATTGTAGACTAAGGAATCATTGTGTTCAGCATAATTTACACCAACAAGAATCAAGAACAAATAGCTGAAACATACTGTAACGGAAGTAATGTTCCAGTCAATGTAAAAGGAGACAATGGTTTGCATCTCAGAACAGGCTGACTGATGTTAAAACTCACTTTTGGATATTTTTGTCATTTTTAAAAAGTGCTTTACAGAAACAGGTTATTATCAGATGATCATTTCCAGTATTAATTGCACTCATTTCACTCTCCATTCCTAGAATTCCTTATCTGTTATCATCTGCAGCAGCTATTAAGAAAAGTATGGAAACTGGATACAACTCAGTACTGACACCTCTCACAATACTGCTGTTTCTTGAAACCTCAGCTCCTTAAATCCCATTATGTGACAGACTTTCATATGAAAGGCTCCTACCCTTTTTTTAGAAAAGAAAACTTAATTGTGCCATTGCTAATGTTTCAAAAACCAGAGGCAAGCAAAAAGAAAACATTTTTTTTTTTTAATCTCATGTTTTTTTGAGAGAATGGTACTTTGGATTTTAACTCGTTGGGGGAAGGGGAGGATGAGGTCAGAAAGAGCCTCAGAACACCAAACCAAGTGTCGCACACAGGGACAGCCCAGCCAAGACTGATGACGAGCACAAGAAATACCCAGGTAAGAGACCCGGATAGTGCTGGGATTAGGGGGGGTGGTGCATACACCTTCAGGAGGCCTTAAATGCCTATACACTAATGCTCGTAGTATGGGGAACAAGCAGGAGGAATTTGTCCTCCTGCTAGCCAACACAAACCCAGACATAGTGGGGGCTCCCTGAAACGTGGTGGGATCCAACGCATGACTAGGCAGCGAACATCAAGGGCTATAGGCTGTACAGGAGGAATAGAACAGGGAGGAAAGGTGGGGGGTGTGGCGCTCTATGTCAAAGAACAATTCACATCCTCAGCGAGCAGCACTGGGTCTGAGGAGGGGCACATTGAACTGCTCTGGGTAAGAATACAAGGGGGTCAGGGGGTAAATGGACTTAACAGAGGGGGTCTACTACAGACCACCCAACCAAGGGGAAGAGCTAGACCGGAAATACTCAGGTCAGCTCACAGAGGCAGTTAAGTCAAAGGAAGTGGTCATCATGGGTGACCTAAACTATCTGGACATTTGCTGGGAAGAGCAGTCAGCCAGGTCTGACCGCTTATGTAGGTTCCTAGCCATGTTACAGGACCTCCATCTAACCCAGGAGGTGCACAGTCCCACCAGGGGAAATGCCTTGTTAGACCTGGTCCTGGCCACAAGAAACGACCTGGTGAGGGGACTGCAGGTGCTCAATCACCTGGGCGATAGCAATCATCGTCTATTGGAATTCACCATCCAGCGCAGGGTGGCAAAGGCCTGCAGCAAGGCAGCAGCCCTGGACTTCAGGAGGACGGATTTCATTGAGCTAAGGAGACTAGTCGGGGAGGCACTGAGGTCCCGGAGGGGTGAGGAGTTGGGAGTCCAAGAAGAGTGGTTGTTCCTGAAGGAGACGATCCTCCAAGCCCAAAGGGTGGCAAATCCCAACACGGATCAAAGGAGGCAAGAGTGCTCAAAAGCCCCCATGGCTCACCAAAAGCATCCAGGAATGTCTCAAAGCTAAGAAGAAGGTGTACCCCCAGTGGAAGGGAGGGGCCATCACCAGGGAGGACTACACCTCCGTTGCTCGGGATTGTAAGGGGGCTCTTAGGAAGGCCAAGGCGGAGATGGAACTGGGATGAGCAACCCGGATCAAGGATAACAAGAAATCCTTTTTTAAATACATAGGGGGTAAAAAGAAGGTTCTGGGTAAGATGGGGCCTCTGCAGGACACGCTTGGAAATCTGGTGGTCTCACCAGACAACAAAGCTAACCTATTTAACAATTTCTTTGCCTCCATTTTTCTGAGCAGGGACCAGGTCATCCCCCCCACCGGGATCCCCAATGGTCCCAGGGGAGGCACAGCCAGGCCCAGAGTCAGAAAGGACCTAGTCAGGGAACTTCTGGTGGGACTGGACATGTTCAAATTAACAGGTCCTGATGATCTCCACCGCAGAGTGCTGAGGGAATTGGCAGGGGTCATTGCGGGACCCCTGGCACGGCTTTACGAGCACTCGTGGTGCTCTGGTGAGGTGCCAGAGGACTGGAAAAGGGCCAATGTGGTCCCCATTTTCAAAAAAAGGGAGGAAGGAGGACCCAGGAAACTATAGGCCTGTTAGTCTTACCTAAGTCCTGAGGAAGCTCTTTGAGAAAATTATCCAGGTGCACATCTGCGATGGGCAAGCAGGGGAGTGTATGCTTAGGGGCAACCAACATGAGTTCATTAGAGGCAGG